GCTAAAAAAGGGTAAAAAAATTGAAAAAAAGCATACTAATACTAGTTTAGTGTTATTCACAATGACGGTCAAACGTTTTGGAAGAAAAGGCACATTTTCAGTATCAAGGACTCGAATGCCTGAAATCTGTCTACAAAACGTGTTCGAGGAAGTAATATATTACATATTGGAACAGGATTTATCCACCTTTCCGGTATCTGGCTCTCGTTATATGCGATTTTGTCGAAAAATGGCAGTTTTTTGCCGCAGCATTACATAACTTTCTCTATACAATGTATATTACTCTGTATACACGTACGTATCCGATAAAGTAAAATCAGAAAGTGGTATCAAGGATCCACAAAACGTAGATACTGACTATTATAAATTTCAGAAAGTAATTTACTTCATTGACGAGAAAAAATCCCCTTTTCCCATAACAGGGACCAACAAAACGAGTTTTGGCTATAGAAAAACTCGTTTTGTTTGTCCCTGTTATGGGAAAGGGGGATTTTTTTCTCGTTTCGCTTTAAATTTCGCATTTACATGAGCTTAACTCAATATCTTTCAACAAAAATTTCTATATAGTACAAGGTTTTACTCTTCTTTTGAATTCCAAAAGTAATATTTCAAATCTACCATTAAAAATCGAAAAATTGAGAAAATTTTTAAAAAAAATGAAATTTGCGCGGTTATACATGGCAGTTGCAAGAGGATGACGGGAAAGTAAAAATAACGAGTGGTGGTACAGAATGGCACAGACTTTTTCGTACTAGTTAGTTTTCGAATTTCTTTGGTCTGGGCTAGCTTTTCGGTCTTGCCTCGTCCTCTTAAAACTGACGCCTCGCAATTTTTTTCTCAATTTTTCGGTTTCTTAGTGGTAGATTCGGAATTTTTCATTAAGAAATTTTCGTTGAAAGATATGGAGGGGTTTTTTTTTTCCGAAGCGGGGAGGGGATTTATGTGAGAATTTCCAAAGCACGGGTGATATTTAATAGGACCATTCCACAAATATTGAAAGTAGCTGAAAGCTATGGTCATCATGGTGGAAATAGCGATCGATATACACCACCTCCTAAGATAGATGCAACACAGTTTATAATTGGCCGGAAGGACGAAGCGGTAAGAAAAATCGGATAGAGAAAGCAATTAACTCTTTGAGATACACCGCCCTGATTGGAGCATTTTGTATATATAGTTAAACACTATTGGTTTTAATTTTACGAGTGGAATAGTCACACGAATCTTTTAAGTTTTCGAAAAACTTCATTTGAAGCAATTTCACTCACAAATGCAATATTGTGTAAAAATAGCTGGAAATAAGCATATTAACAGCCTAAGAGATATTTCAAAAAAATTACATTTGTGTATTATTTTAAACAAAACAATACAGAAAAATTAATTTTATGTCATCTTAAGCAGTGCAATTAGCACAATCTGTAAGGAAAATTTGAAGATAAAATTTGGAGTAGCTTTTGAGAAAATGGTGTTCGAGCGTTTCTGACAATATGGAATTTTCAGCTCGTTTTCACAGAAAAGTTTTGAGTTTTCAAGAAACTTTATATAAGACATTATTTAAAGAACATGTATTCATAAATATAATAATGTGAACAAATCACATCTAATATAAATATTAACAACGTAAGAGAAAAGTCAAAAAATTAAATGTTTTTAAATTTTGAAAAAAGAAAAGAATAGAGCAAAATGGCTTTTATGGAGTACATTTATAACTATCCCTACCAAAAGTGTAAAAAAAATTAGGAGCTTCTATTGAGAAAATCTTGTTTTTATTATTTTTCTAATGCTGCACAATCTGCATGCAACATTGTAAGAAAATAAATAAAAGTTTCAAAAAAATTTACATGATCTTAACAAAAGAACCACTTATGGAGAAAAAATTGTACTTGAAATAAAAATCTCTATCTTTAATTTTGTTGTTGTAGGAAAATGACAAAAAAATAATTCATTATTTTGCAATTTTCAAAAATACAGAGTAATCAGAGAAAATCAGCCCTATGCCACCTTTATAAGTGTATTTCACTCTATTCTTACAAGAAAGTTAAAGATAAAATTTGGAGTCATTTTTGAGAAAATTTAGAAATTGTCCCCGGGGCTTCATGTAAAGTACCAAAAAGTAATGAAGGTTTTTTAGAAGTGCAGAGCTTCAACTCAGGCCAGATTGTCAGGGGTTAATGCAGTTTGAAAAAATCATATGCATAGTTTAGGTGCTAGTTCAGCCCAGACAGATGGACAGACGTTTGGGGGGAAAAACACCACACTTTTCCAAAATCGGGGGACCCCAAAACGTGTATTTCAGTTGAAATCTCGAAATCGATATTCCGTAGCATAAATAACTTTCCCTTTACTATGTATATTACTCGTTATATATAT